CGCCGTTTCGACACTTAGAAACATTCGAGACTCACGAGTACGTTTTCGCACAGGCTAAATGTCCGGCAGTTTGAAAGCCATCTGGAAAGTTAGAAAGCCTGTTAGTAAGCCAAAGCATGCATACTAGCCTCGATTAGTTTTCCAAAGCAATAACGAAAATATTAAGTGCTTTCATTATGAAACCTTAGAGTCAATGTACTGTGTGAATCAACTAACGTGTGGAAAAAAAGGGTGCAAAGGCAAACGCAGTGCGAATTACGGCCCATAACAAACGGGAAGGCGGTCCCTGATAACACCAAATTAAATATAGCCAGTTATAAAAAAAACAACTAACGAGTCACGAACGATAAGGAATAACAAGACGAGCTAGTAACCAGACTGAAAGGGGCGTAAAAGACGTGAGAGCTCAAACAGAATAATAACCATACCACTAACTTATAACAGAAATCGCGACGATAACTGTGATCCTCGGTTATCTCCTTCGCGATGTAAATGGCACTGAGATTGCAGACGCGAACTTAATTAGAATTGATCGTGATCACCACCTGGCGATCGCGATTACTGCACCACGATCGAGAGCAATATGGCACTCGACGATCGCCGATTACAACTTAACTAAATCGCACCGCGATCGCAATCACCGCTTCGCAGTAAGTACAATGCCCCTGCGATCGCGATTACCAAACCGGGATCGTAGTCCTGACATATAAATCACGGATTTGACTTTACTAAATCAAGCCGCGATAAGTACAATGCCGCTGCCATCGCGGATACTATTTTTCAAAATTGCACGACCCCATCAGCTGCTTAGCGTTTAATATCATCGAGCTAAAATAAAAACTGTCTGTCTTCGCGATCGCAATCATCTTCCTGCGATCACGATCATTCCGCTGAGATCGCTCTATCTTCACCATCCTGACCCTGAGATCGCGGATAATATTTTTCTGAATCGCGCCGCGATCGTAATCTTCTTCCTGCGATCACGATCATCGGGCTGAGATCGTTATAACTCCGCCGCGATCGCAATTTCATCGCCAGCATCGCAATCCTAACCTTGGGATCGCAGATACGACTTTTCAAAATTGCGCCGCGATCGCGATCATCTTCCCGCGATCACGATCATCACGTTGAGATCGCTATAACTTCGCCGCGATCGCTCTATCTTCCCCGCGATCGCGTTCACCACGCCGCGATAAGTACAATACCGCTGCGATCGCGATTTCATCGCCAGGATCGCAATCCTGACTCTGAGATCGCGGATAATATTTTTCTGAATCGCGCCGCGATCGTAATCTTGTTCCTGCGATCACGATCATCGTTCTGAGATCGTTATAACTTCGCCGCGATCGCGATTTCATCGCCAGCATCGCAATCCTGACCTTGGGATCGCAGATACGATTTTTCAAAATTGCGCCGCGATCGCGATCATCGTCCCGCAATCACGATCATCGCGTTGAGATCGCTATAACTTCGCCGCGATCGCGATCACCACGCCGCGATCGCGATCACCACGCCGCGATCGCGATCACTACGCCGCGATCGCGATCTTCGCGTCGCTATTGCAAGCGCGATTTACTTCAATTGCATCGCGATCGCTGATATCGCGCCGCGATCAAAATCATCGCGCCGCGATCAAAATCATCGCGCCGCGATCGCGATCACCGCGTCGCGATCGCGATCACCGCGTCGCGATCGCGATCATCGCATCGCGATCGCGATCACCGCGCCGCGATCGCTATAACCTCGCCGCGATCGCGATCACCACGTCGCTATCGCGGGCGCGATTAATCTAAATCGCGCCGCGATATGCACAATCGCGCCGCGATCGCTGCCATCGCTCCGCGATCGCGGTCATCGCGGCGCGATCGCTAATAAATTTTTACAAGGGTCCAAACATTTATCAGAGATCTTGTTTTGGCTATTCCAAACATTTATCAGAGATCTTGTTTTTGCTGTTCCAAACATTTATCAGAGATCTTGTTTTTGCTGTTCCAAACATTTATCAGAGATCTTGTTTTTGCTGTTCCAAACATTTATCAGAGATCTTGTTTTTGCTGTTCCAAACATTTATCAGAGATCTTGTTTTTGCTGTTCCAAACATTTATCAGAGATCTTGTTTTTGCTGTTCCAAACATTTATCAGAGATCTTGTTTTGGCTATTCCAAACATTTATCAGAGATCTTGTTTTGGCTATTCCAAACATTTATCAGAGATCTTGTTTTGGCTATTCCAAACATTTATCAGATCTTGTTTTTGCTGTTCCAAACATTTATCAGAGATCTTGTTTTTGCTGTTCCAAACATTTATCAGAGATCTTGCTTTTGCTGTTCCAAACATTTATCAGAGATCTTGTTTTTGCTGTTCCAAAGATTAGAATTATTGATTTAAGGATTATTTTTGCAAACACTGAAATTCTTGATATCCAAAACACTGGAACTCTGGATTTTGGCTTTCCCAATATTGGAATTCTGGATTTTGGCCTTCCAAACTTTGGAATTCACTGTGTTGGTTTTTTCCAAACATCAGAATTCAGTGTTTTGGCTTTTCCAAACATTGAAATATTCTATTTTGGCTTTTCCACAACATGGATTTCTTGATTTTGTCTTTTTCTAAACATTAGAAGTCTTGATTTTAGATTTTCCAAACACTGGAATTCTTGATTTTAGCTTCTCCAAACATCGAAATTCTTAAATTTGGCCATTCCAAACATTAATGGAATTCTTGATTTTGGAAAGTTTGTTCATGATACATGTACTTTCCCTAAATGTACGAAGAAAGTCAAGAGAAGAAATCTGGGCACTCTAAGGTCCTTTGTTCACAGATTCACTGTTACTGGTGGATCTCCACTCTGTTAAAATACTTTTCTTTCTTAGGTGTCAAGAATGTCAGAGGTGCATCCAAAATAATGAAAATTAAGGTCACCAAAATTAATTTTACACTCCACTTAATTAACGGTACAGAAATTAACGTTTCAAGACATTAAAGTGACTTAATATACATGTAAATTGATGCAAATTTTTGAAATTATTTTGCATCAATCTCATGAAGGGTTTATTTCCTTTAATAACTACAAGGTACTTAATAATTATTTAATATCAAACCCACCATAGCTTGCTGGTCAGCTGGCGTAAGAGTGGAAGCTCTATGAAGCTGTCAACGATGAAACACAAAAAAGCATCATCAAAATTTTGTACACAACTACACTGTACACTTCTGTTCAAAGAAGTGGATATAATGTCTAGAGTATTAAAATTGAATTCCCTTCACAAAGCAATTCAAATTAACCACAACAGGTTTTAAAATTATTTCCTACTAAAAATGCAAATTTCTTGCTTGAATGGTGCATAAATTGTCTGCTTTTTATTGAATTCAGACATGACTTGGCTCTGACACATCCTACTTGCTAATATACATTTAAAAGGTACAGTTTGCATTCAATTTTTAAAAGACGCTTCTTGGGTGAGAAACGTCTTATTAATTTTTCATTAATTGCACTTATGTTGTCATACACACATATTTTGAACAAAACAGCAAGTGAATATAAACTGGTAATTCAACACTGTTATGCAACATATATACACTTACTGTACATGCTGAGGTATGTTTTGAGATCTATCAATAATTAATCTTACAATAACTAAATGGTTTCTCATGTGCTGATTGGTTGAGAACCATGGTTGATGGGAGTACAGTATTGCAATTTGGTTTTCTCTTCCTCGTGCCCGCAATTTTCTGAGAAACATCAACGGAAATGGACATCAACAAAAACAAACCAACAACAATTTTCCATGGTTTGTACTCTCATAGACCATAGAAATTATGTCGAAATGTTAAAAACTTTGCAGTGGAACCACTCACCAGTGTGGCTCATGGTTCCACTTGATGAGTTTTGAACATTTGAAGTCGTTTCTTTGTTATAATTATAAGAGTATACAGACCATAAAAATTGTTGCTGATTTGTTAACTGTACATCATAATATTATTATAATGTCTGATATACCTGTTCTAACTGGGGCAATACAAAATTCAAAGCTACGAAATTGAATGAAAATAAATACTTGTTCCTTTCCTGCAATGTGAGAAAAAAAGTGCCATCAGTACATGATAAGTGATAACTACTGAAAAAAACATATATATATACTGATAGATTCTTTAGCACAAAGCTCTAGGTGTCATTTTGACAGTGCTCAATGAACAAAAAATATTTTAAAAATACATGTATTTCTCTGTTTCTGATTGCCTCAAATCCACCAGCTTAAATTTCTCATAAGGAGCTACCATGGCCAAATTTAGAAGGCATTTGTGATATCCGGTAAAATGATGTCAAAAGTACAGGCTATTGTCAGAAAAAGGGACAGGAACCAGGAAGCCCTGGGGACAAGGTTGTGTTGGCTATGTTGTTTTGGTAGAGCTGGAAAATACCATATATAATGTATGGTTGTTTGTGAAAAAAAGGAAAAAATCTGCTAGACCAATTAAACATCCCTTTATTAGTTTATACTCTGAATTTGCTGAAGAACAGACAAAATCATGATCTAAACATCAATATAGGCATACATGTAAGAATTGTTTTAACATAATGCAAATTATTTTGAATGAATAATAAAACAGCTATTGGATTAGGCTTTGGTATGATTTTGTGAAATTCTTCAGATCATACGCAGCCTCATCCAATAGCTGCTAAATATTGCCAAAAAATTACAAGACAGCCATTACTCCATCAAGGCACTGACCACGCTTGCATTCTTGAATCCCATAGTCCACATGTATATTATCATAAGACTTTATATTTAAATCTAGTCATGGGAAAACAACATTCAGACCAGCAATGCATCCAGTAAGTTCATATTTTACGGGTGTATATACATTACTCACTCTTCTAAATGTATATGGAGCTATTGTGTTGCCCTCTTTCATTTCTATGACTTGTTTGGACTCAATTGCCAGCACATCTCCTTTGGTGTCAATTCTTTAGAAAATAATGCAAATCAAATCAAATGTGGTGGCCAAACTCATTGAAAACAAAGCCTTTTATAACTACTACAGTCTAACAGACTCAGTTTTCTAAGAAGCTTGCACCTGACCAGCCAGCTGAAATCATTCACACTAGCTAACTGACTACCTGACTGGCTATCTGGCTGACTGACTTACCATAGCAAGCACAGGGCTTAAAAAAAAATGAATTCCTGCTTGACCTTTGGGGAAAAGCTGTCAGACTATGCATGCTTGCCTGGGGCCACTGCTTTTTTGTCTCAGTTAATGATTTACATAATTTATAGTTCTAGGGGAAGACTAGTCGGGACCTTTGTCCATATTGGGCAGGTAAACTGAGTGAGTACTTTAAAGGTTACATGCCCTGCAAGAAAATCTACTAGACCCAGACTACCAGGTGCCTGCTTGACCCACTGACTGACTCTTCAACTGACAAGTGACTGGCTTAAACTGACTAACAAATAATATGGATTGCTTTTGAAAGATTGAATTATTACTAAAGGTCAGTAGACACTAGGCGACAAGTTGCAGAACAGGTCGTGGGGACCCATCGCAGTGACAAATCGGTTTGTGTGTACTGAAGAATTTTTGTAAAAGTCTTTGTCTCCTAAACAGAATTTTGTTGCAGCAACATTTCGCAAAAAATCAAATCAGACAGAATTTGTGTGACTTGTTATGGTGACATGCAGAGACAAAGATTTTCACAAAAATTCTCAAGTACACACAAAGTGATTTGTCCCTGCGACGTGTCACCACAACGTGTCGCTGCAACTACAAATTGTACTCGCCGGACCTGCACACACAGAGTGATATGTCACCACGACTTGTTGCTGCAACTTGTCTTAACAGCCTGATTAACAAACTAATTCATGTCTAGATAATCAGTCCAACCAGCCACTCAGTGACAATCAAAACCACATACATGTACAAGGCATAACATCATGGATTATCTGACTGACCAACCAGCTGCCCAATTCAATGACAATCACTTTACCTTGACATGAGTGATCCAGACCAGTGCATAATTGAGATACATTCTCTAAGTGGAAACTGCAAGAAATTGTTATCAAATAAGTACATGACCTTGTCCTGGTCATTGACTGTGAGTTAAAATTGCCTCAGAACATTTTATCTCTTTTACTTCAGTTAATTTAACAGTAAAAAAGTGCTCACTTCCTTGAGTAATACTGAGCTTATTAGTCTGTCAGTGCTTACTGAAGGCAACCTTGACAAACCATTGCAGCTAATAGAAACATGACTTTTGTTCAAGTATAAAGTTCATTTTTCCTTAGCTTCATACTTGATACTAATAATTTTATTCGCAGACCTGGTTTACACTAAAGAGATTTTTCCTCAGTCATAAATGTCTGGGATTTATTGCATTTAAGACGTTTAGATTTGCAGGCTTTACACACATCAGTTACCTGGATAACCCTCATTTTTTGGATGTACAGACTGTATATAGCATTCACTTTACATTGTAGTTTGCAGTTTTAATACCTCCACAGAAGAAACCAGACCATTTGGATTCACATCTCATAGTGTAAGTGAAAAAAAAAAAGTTCAAGTACGAAAATGTTTCCGATGAATTTTTGTGAATCCAGAAACATTTCCTCTAGTGTTGACTTAGCGTTGGTCATATTAAAATGAGAAATGGAACACTACTGAACACTGTACAATGTTAACTGGGACAATGTACATAGATTTAGATCCACTAAAGACTTTTTTCAACTTAAAACGGGCTTAAAAATCCGGTCAGTGTAAAACACAGACTGCGGACTGCAAACTGCAGGCTGCGGACCAGGGGTAAAATGCAGACTGCAGACTGAGAGTAAAACGCAGGCTGGGGTAAAATGCAGAATAAAGACTGTAGACTTTTTTAAACATTTGTGTTCCTTCTTCTCCAAATCGGTGAAATAGCTAGGCGGTATCAGTTACACACTTCGCTTCCTAGTTAAAGTGGATTGCACATTCGCCAGAAGTTTCAATGAACATCCGAACAGGTTAAGTCTGTGTACCTTGATTTGCAATACTTTCATAGAAGGTCATCCAAATTTCCTGCAGAACATCTTTCTTTGTTGTTAGAATGATTTACTCCCTTTTATCGCCATAATTCTTCCTGGTACAGTATTTTGGGTCAGCAGCTTTCATTTAAGCGTAAACATCGTGGTGTTGTAACAATTCACGGTCCCTGGTCACGTATATTGAAAACTTCCCGTCTAAACTTGAAGTGTGAGGTCTCTTGGACGGAAAAAAGGTTCAAGATTGCAATTATATGTTTTTGGGTCGTCGACAACATTCTAGAGAAGAAAGTCCTGAATGGATTTGTGAAAGCAGATGTCTTCAAGTAAGTGTTCGTTTAGATGTATTTGGGGGAGTTTTTGGCCCTTGAACCCTGCTACGACTACAGTTTATGCTCGGTCTGCATTTTACCCCAGTCTGCATTTTACTCTCAGTCTGCAGTCTGCATTTTACACTCAGTCTGCATTTTACCCATGGTCCACAGTCTGCAGTCTGCAGTCCGCAGTCTGCGTTTTATACTGACCGCTTAAAAATCTTGGTGAATAAATTCTTCTGCCCTACACTCTAAAAGGAGTAGAGCAAAAGCCAACTAGTCATGTAGGAGCTTCTGCATGGGTATTTCCAACCAAATTGAAGTTATCACTATCGCTGTTGACTTGAAGAAGCCAAGATTCTATAGATTAAAGTGATGGTCACATAATTTGCAATTTCAATCAAGTTTTACGGTGTAAGTCTTGCAAAGATCGCAAAGAAACCTGTCAAAACAATTATGCTTCCCATTCAGAGTTTTTGCTTGCTTATTTTCTCTTTTCTGTTGTTGTTTTGGTTGTACTGAGCTCAATAGTAGCATTGCCATGATGCAAGGCAATTCTGACGATTAATTTTTACCTGAAAACCAACAATTTCATAGAAAAAGCATGAGGAAATTGATGTCCGCAGGTACCCATACAAAGGCTCAACTAGAGATTTTCAAAGACAACAGTAAATCCCCCAAGGGCGAGAGGATCTGCCTGCTATGAGACAGCCCTGATGTTAATAACTCGAGATTCTTTTTCGAACAAAGTTAACTGTAACAAAGCATACCTTTAAAATAGGGTAAGAAGTATCAATGGGGTCAAAAAGTATAGACTTGGAACAGATCTTTAATCTCCCTCTTTGTTTCCTTGCAAGAGAAGAACAACAATGCTATTATTCTCATTATCATTATTATTATTATTATTTCTAAATGAATGGATTCATTTGCAGCATTTGTCCATTGTTCAGTGAACTTCAATATCACCGTAGAGCCATTAAGCACTCGAACAATAATATTGTTTGTTATAAAGGGGTACATTATATCAATATATTCAGTGTCCTGTTCCATACATTTTACTATGACATCAGAATCCCGCCCTCCATAGGAGGTGTGGGGTGCAGATAAAAAAAAAAACAATGGAATGTCCCATTTCCCATGGGGCTAGTCCACTTTCATTTTCCGTCATGATTCAGTGAGACCTCAATATTGGGAAACCCTTATTTTAATGTAAATCACATTCAGGTACATTGTACCTGGGGCAGAGAATGTAACTTACATTAAAATAGGGGTTCCCGAATATTGAGGTCTCACTGAATCATGATGGAAAATAAAAGTGGACTAGCCCCATGGGAAATGGGACATTTTATTGGTTTTTGTTTTTATCCGCACCCCTAACCTCCTGTGGAGGGCAGGATTCTGATAGATCTTGATCTTGATCTCCGATTGCCACAGGTTTTGTAGTAAAAAGACAATAGTTCCAATGACCCATTGTGGGTAAAAAGCTAATTCTGAAACCTTTACTGTAGTAAAAATAACAGATTCCGACAGGGCCCTTCTGGAAATTATTCAATAACGCCTTACAGAGAGGTTTTCATTGATATAACATAACATTTCAAGCTTCATGTAGAAACTTTCTTTAAGAGGTAAGCTCACATTCTGTTACAGAGAAAATAATTTCTTACCTTTTGATTGCTTCTTCTTCAGGCAAATCAGATGGATAATAAAAAACGCTGAAATCTTCGAAGTAAATCTCTCCAGGTTCAAGAAGAAGTAAAGAGAATCTAAACAAAAAAAATTGTAAAAACATTTATATTGACATAATAACTTATATAACAGCTCCACGGTCTAAATGTTTAAATACTCACTCAATATTTATAATTTAAGATTCAGTTATACTGAAAACAAATCAACATTGCACTTTTGTTGCTTTCCAGTTAAACCACAGGTTGATTGTTAAGACAGTTGATCTGAAAAATTTATACGTCCACAAATAAACAACTCTGCAAGTCAAAGATTGAACGAAAACGAAATCGAACAAAGCCATCCAAACAAGCAGAAACAAGCTGTTCTGCCGATCTGACACTGACATCTTCGTTGTCACTAAATTCTCCTCGTTTCATCTTAAACATCGCCGAAAATAGCTTAGGTTAACAAAAAGAACAAGTAATTATAAGCGTAATCAAAATAACATAACCAGAAATATCACCTTTCTTTCAAAGGAATTGTATGAGTTTCTAAGCCAGAGCTTGATGCGAACGACAGGTCCGCCATTTTGTAAACAGGAAAGTAAAACCTAGTGACCAGTCTTTTCGCATTTTTTTGCAATCTCCTTATATTACGCTCACGCGCTCTTTTGATCCCAACAGTTCGATTTTTTTGTGCCCTGAATTTTCAACTGAATCGAAGACGTAACTCACAGTAAAGCTCTTCATTCAAATAGCTTGTCATGAAAAATCGAAGAGAATTTTTTAAGGGTAATCGCTTTGAATAATTGAGCTTAGAGATGACCGGAAATTCAGTGATGTTTTACAATCTTTTTTATTATTTAGATCGCAGAGAAAAAAAAAATTCCTGCGTTTTTGTTTGGGAATCGACGGCAAAACTAGGAGTCATCGAGAAGCCTTAGTTTTGATAATGAGCTAACGATCTGAAAAGAAAATCCAAATGGCGTTGAAATATTTAAAGCTAAAACCGCGCTGGTTGTCGGAGGCAGGCGGCCGATGAGGAAATATTTTACCACCAGTTGTAAACCCTACAAACCTAAAAAACCGTAACTTTGGTAAACTTCACCGAGGAATTACCTCTCCGCGCGCGCCCTTACCTTGTAAAATAATCTTCGTAAAAAACACCTTCGGTACTTGGGTATTCCAGACCACAACTGCATCCATTGGAGTTCTCCGAATTCCCCAAGCGTCTTCTGACTTTGTCCCACAAAGCCATGGATTTGTCCGCTAGCGTGTACACACCACCGCGTACATTTTTTCCAATGCTTGAAGTAGCTCTGTTGAACGTTAAAACGCTTTACACAGTGATAAAAAGTTCAGTCCCTAAAATTTTCAAGCGGCGTAGATAGGAAATTACTTAAAATAGGTTACTAGTTGAAAATTGTCTCGGCTGTTTTCATTTGCGAACAATACGAGTCAAGCTAATTTGCATGCGTCAGAGCGGCACACAACCAAATTATCTCCAAACCGATTTAACCAGTAAAAGAAACTTTTAAAAGCGTTTATGGAGTGCGGTTAACTTTAGCAATCATTTTGTCTACATGACGTAATTTGTCTTGATTTGTAACTGGGCATTTCAGCTAACTGATTCAAGAAACACGAAGATATCGCAAGAGCTATCGCTGCTTGGCAAGCGTTTAGAGCTTCAAGCTTGAATTTCTGATCTCGTATTTATTCATTTTTTCATGTCAAGCCATCACACATATTAAAACCGACGAATTAATGAACAGACCAGGCCGAGTTTCTATTCAACAGAGGAAACTACCACAGACCAGATGGTTACAATAAACAGATGTTTTATGCTATGAAAACCATAAACCAACACTGTGAAGATTAGGGGCACCTTTTCATAACCGCGTCCAACCGAAAATTGTTTTTCCTTTGGCGCCCAATGTTTTTCGAAAGCCCATAGTTCATCACAAGAGGCCTCGTCAAAGCAACAAGTTGACAAGAACCGACCACAGAGATAAGGGCGACGGTGCTTCCGATTTACACTAAAAAGGAAAACAAGTTGTTATGGTGATCGATCCTTCCTGAATCGAGATCAAGAAGCAGGTGCTTAGAGTGAGGTAATTCAGCAAAAATCCTCACATGTCACGTTGATTTGGGCTTTACCTCAGTTGAGGATTTTCTCATGGATATCGTTAAGCCCGTACCCAGAATCTGCCCTCGGAGAGAAGACGAAGACGTAATTTGTGAGTGCGCACTCCGCCAAAAAAAATATATTGCTACCTGATATTGCTTCGGGTTTATATATAAAAGTTCGGCCTGTAGCAATATACGACCCTGAAACTGGCTAGTTTTGGCATCAAACGTTGTGCTTTAAATAAAGCGATTTTTTTAGTCCATTCTTATTTTGGGGATTTCGATTATTAGCCAAATTTTTTAAGATCAGTTCTGTTCTACAAAGATTTTTTTTATTATAATGATCATCGAATTTAGGTCATTTCCTAGTAATAAGGGATTGTCAATCAAGAAAACAGGAACTTTAAACGATGCAAATTTTTATTGTAATTATGAAATGTGGATCATTTTCCAATCTTTTTTGAGAAAAATTAAAAGCCCGAATATTTATGAAAATGAGATTGGATTTACTCTTTTCGATGGGCTAAGCCACGATCTTCAGATCGAGTACACTGCTTGTTTAGCCTAAATACAGTTGATCTGTACCTTGTTTCTCGTTCAAGACTTTCTTTCAAAGTTTGACACTGAGAAAAGCAGCCGTGTAAGGTGATTATCGGCTGGTTAGTTTTAACGCGAGGCCGAATATCAGTCTTCGTGTGATTATTCGGCAATTATAAATAATTAAGAATTGTATACTTTAAAAACTAAAGGGGGACTTAGGGAAACCTCTTACGAATGATGCAAAGTATTTTTGGTGGAGAAAGAAAAATTGACAATATTTTCTTACAATCGAATTCATTTAAAAGACTTCCAGTTATTAAGTGTCAAGTTTCAATAAAGGATTTTGCACGCCAAGGAACACTTGTCATGATTTCAAACATGTTGAAATTCGCAAGTGTACAGGACTTTTAATTTGCTGCGTCGAACTGATGAATTATTAATTGTCTCACACGCGACTATTGTTTTTAAAGTATTGTCGCGGTTTCGCAGTGCTATGTCGCACTAACGATATTTGTTGCGAAAGTAAAAAGGCTTAAAAATAGTTTGGTAGCATTGAAGCCAATAAAACTTTGCAAAATCTTGTGGCTTTAAACACTACAACTTTTAAGTAACCACTTCCTGGGCTAAACCTCTTGATTCAAGACATTCAATTTTTTTTTCGAAGTTTTTTACGAAACGGAAATCAGTAGATATTTTACGTGAAAACTGGACCGATTCTTGCTGAGAGCATCAAGTATGCGCGTGCTATAAACATTCATCAAAATTTACGGAGCAAAAACTCTCAAGAGACTGTTACAACCGGAATGATTTAGGGATTGTGCTGATATTTGAGGGGGAGGGGTGGGTACCTTAACCATGGCGCAGAGGGTCAGTGCTGACTCGTGTATTTTTCGTGAAGAAGAAGCGCTTCCGGCGTATTGAGAGAGACCTCCAGCGCTGCTGACCACCACATCCAGTCATTTTTGTAAGCCCTGCACCAAATCTTCAAGATTCTGAAACTTTCCCATGCGGGATGCTGTTAGCCAAAGTCTGCTTTCACTGGCATCTCGATGACTTTTCGTTATCCACAATGTACACTCATACATAGGGTAACCGGTCAAGTCGCCCGAACGTCATCTCGCCCGAAGTTATGTCACTGGACACTAGAGTTACATCGCCCGCAATTTATCTTTATGTCGCCCGTTTCAAAAAATATTCATATACACACTTTATACACAAAGAAGTGGCCAAAGCGGAACGAAGCAGGGTGCGTATTGTATGTCGTTCATTAAAGCCATGATGAGACGAAAACAGCACGATAATTTTCAATTTATCGATAAATGGGTAATACATACACATCTCTTTCTTTAAGCCTTCATAAGAAGAAACAAGTGCGATGTCATAGTGATGTTAGGATGTTGTTGACCATGATAAAATTTTGTGCCGGACATAGCCGACAGCATATTTCATGCGACATTGCTATAAATTTCGTGCAGGGATGCAGACAGAAGTTTGCCGGCATGTGGGATAAAGTCAGGTTACACGCACTTTTTAAACAGCCTTCAATTAATTAAGTCCCAAAACTCCCATTAATACAATTCGCGGTTGTCGCTGTTTCTTCCTAGACGGTGTACTGAATAATTTATCTACTAATAAAGTAATTGTGGTCATCCAAGCCATTTTGAGAGTTTTTAACACTGGAAATTTGATGGAGACAGGGGATGTCGTGAACGGACAGTTCAACGTGTATCCATGGAGATTTAACCGGTGACGTTTTTTCGGGAACGAAAGGCACTATGCCCGGGAGGGGAGGGGCCGGCGTACTCCCTTATATAAGCCATATAGGTATGTGTCGCCCCAAAGGGTGGGGTTTTTGTACCGTTTTAGTCTGAAAACGGGTATGGACTTTGGTCTGGAATAGGGGATGGTTTTCGAGGGAACTACGGAAGTGTATGAACGTATTTATCGTTTCAATTCCAAATGGGAAAGAAACTCGAGAAATTCGAATGGCTTTTAAGAACATTTTCTTTTCAATGTTCTAATTTAAGTCATGATTACATAATTTCTTAAAGGCCAGTTCTGAACACGGATGTGAAAAATGACATTTGTTTGGTTCGGAAACAGGGTCAGGAGTTGGAGAACCGGGATGCACACTCCCACCGATAATTCCCAGGAGTACCCCCCGGGGCACTATGACGCACAATAAATTTCATTTTTCGTGTTTACGAGTGACTTGTCGAGGTAAAATATACCATGCTAACCGCACTTTCTCTTTAAAGAAATTTGCCATCAATAATTTCAAGCAAGCGCAAAGACAACGCTACGCTAATCGTCCTCCGCGCAACTAGCCCCAGGAGAATTCACTGAACATTATCCTCAGCGGCGTTCCAGTCCTTCGCATTTAATACAGCTGAAACGATCTAAAAATCCATTTCGCCAGTCCATTTCCGGGTTACTTGAATAGTCAATGGCTCGTTTCTTTTTGACTGGAAGTCACCAGTCAGCCGCACGACTGTTTAGAAATTTGAAGAATGGAACAGCAAACAACTTGTATTTAGCTTGTATTTCACGAATGAACTGCCAACACGCTTCTGCATATCTTAGACCCCGTTTGCGCGAGTCCCGACAAATTTTTGAACGAACGATTTTTTTACCTGTGCAACCCATTTACACGGAACCGTGCAAATTTTGTTACAGTAATGTTTACACGAGTCCGTACAAATTTTTTGCCGTTGTCAGCATTGGAATGACCTTTTTTATCAAAGGCGCGTAACTAGCTAGGCTCCAGACATTTACCGCACAAACTGTGCAAGAACTTGCACGGCTCAAATGTTTACACGAGTTTGCCTAGAAGTGGAACCGTACCGTACAAGGTTCCGTGCAACAGGTTACACAGGTCAAAAATTCGTCCGGACCCGTGTTAACAGGGTCTTTCCCTTTCAAAAACTTGCACGATTCCGCGGGTCTATAGCTATGCACCTATCAATGTAATGCCGGCGTGGGGGGGGAGGCAGGGCATAGGGTGGGGATTTGACTTTTTTCAAAAATTTGCAATCAAATTTCCTGCCCACGGGCAAATCATTCCAGTCAAATGCAACCAAATTTCCCCACCCCAGAATGCACACTGCTGTCAATCCCAAGGCAGAACCTAAGAAAGGCGTAATAAAAATATCTCCAGATAAAACTCTGCAATCTTTTATAAACGTTGCTGCATCACCAAAGATACATGTTCCTGTTACAGCTGCAATTATACGTTCTAACCATAATCCGTGTTACACTGCGTAGAATACATAAACCTTTCGGACGAAGTCCACATTTTGTAAGTCTAAATATACCGTTCTTAGTAAAGGGTAAAAGAAAGTCAGTTTTATAAGTTTACAGTGATGGTAGCGAATGAGCCATACACTAATCAATTGTACTTGCAAAAATCGACTTGGTTTCTCTTTACTTCCGTTTACTTTGATACCACAGTATTTTAAGAGGTTCAATTGATCAAAAACATGCTAAAACAAACGAAATTTGAAGACAAAACAGTGAAATCCACTCAGCCTTCGCTCGTTTTCATTGGCCTTCATGACTTCCTGATCTTTTCAAACCATATGGCGCATGCGTGAAGCGTGGAAGGGGGAAACATATGTTCGGTCTCAGTCTTTTTCGTCCAAGTCGGCAGTCAAAGAAAGATTCAAATATCCCTACCCCCGGGAGAACAAGATCAGTCAAATGCCCTACCCCAGGGACAACAAAGACAATCAAATCCCCACCCCATGCCCTAAATTCACCCCCGCCGGCATTACATTGATAGGTGCACTAGTGTAAACAAAAGGCGGATCCGTACAAGGTAATCGGCTCCTGTTCTTACAGCTTAGATGTGAGTAGCTCATAGACCTATTCGGCTAACTCAATGTTGCACCCAATTCATACCCTTTGGGAATAAAACTTTTTGTTTCAGGAATATCCATATCGTTTAAATGTGAATGCAACATTATAATGCAAATACAATATGCAAAGAATCTTAACCCGGGAGATTTGAATTGGGTACAACATTGAGTTAACCGAATAGGTCTAAGGTGGAGTATAGCGAACAATGACAGATCGGTTGTGTTTTGTTTTGTAAAACCACCAAGGAAGCCATAATTATTTTTACGAGAATGTTTCTTTCGAAACTAAAAGCAGAATAGTCTTATCAATTCGCGTTTGGTCCTCCATAATGTTGTGTTTTGCAACATAATAAATTTGAAACTGATTCGGTATACCGGTACATCGGTAAATAAGTTAATACATACAATTTATTTTCCTATTTGTTACATTTTTTA